CCTATCTTTCGAATGGCCATTTAATGGTACATAGTCTTCCTAGTCTAAAACTGTTATTGGATACTGATTTCTTACCGCTTATGGACTTAAGGTTAGCATTTAATTATTAACTAATCATATAATCTTTTTAATATATTTTAATAATTTTTTATATTTAGTTTTCAAACAAAATGTAAACAGGGAATTGTGGATCCAATGCTTTCGATATGGGGTCAACAGATCATTGTTCATGAAGATACAAATCAGTACGTTCTATATCTCTTACTATTATATTTTAACTATATATTTCTTAACTATTATCCTTCTATCTCCCTTATAGAATATCAAAAATATTTTGCTTTAGTCATAAAGGTCATGGATTGTACATGGCATCGCCCACCGAAATTCAAAAATTCACGATATCATCGGAATTTTGGTAGGTTTTCGGTATTAGTTGATATTAGTTTTGGTCTTTTTTCAACTTTCAACTCTTATTTGTTCTATTTTCAAGTCAATTTATTTTGGAGATGATGGGTGAACTATATACGGTACAGGAAATGCCCGAACAGCCGAAGGAGGGTTTCTTCAAGGGCCTATTTGGCGGCGGCGCCAAGCTCCTGGATCGTGAGGAGCTTTGTAAGTTTTTGGTTTTTCAAAAGGGACCTTCTTTACTAGAAAACTTGAGATAGGATTGGTCATTTCCAAAATTTTTTTTATTTTTTTCCCCCTTTTTCCTGGGCCACCCCTTGTAAAATCCAGGATTTCCATATATGACACCTTCCGATGCCCATATCTCTGGCAATTTCTATCCGATTCTTAAAAGGAATACCTTAATCGATTCGTGGATCGATTCTCCGCCAATCTACATCAAAACCTGGATACAAAATATTTTTTCGATTTTTTTCCCCTTTTTCCTGGGCCACCCCTTGTAAAATCCAGGATTTCCATATAGGACACCTTCCGATGTGCATATCTTTGGCATTTTCTATCCGATTTTCGAAAGGAATACCTTAATCGATTCGTGGATAAATTCCCCACCAATCTGCATCAAAACCTGGATACAAAATATTTTTTCAATTTTTTTCCCTATTTTCCTGGGCCACCCCTTGTAAAATCCAGGATTTCCATATAGGACACCTTCCGATGTGCATATCTTTGGCATTTTCTATCCGATTCATATAAGGAATACCTTAATCGATTCGTGGATCGATTCTCCACCAATCTACATCAAAACCTGGATACAAAATATTTTTTCAATTTTTTTCCCTATTTTCCTGGGCCACCCCTTGTAAAATCCAGGATTTCCATGTATGACACCTTCCGATGCCCATATCTCTGGCAATTTCTATCCGATTCCTAAAAGGAATACCTTAATCAATTCGTGGATCGATTCTCCACCAATCTACATCAAAACCTGGATACAAAATATTTTTTCAATTTTTTTCCCTATTTTCCTGGGCCACCCCTTGTAAAATCCAGGATTTCCATATAGGACACCTTCCGATGTGCATATCTTTGGCATTTTCTATCCGATTTTCGAAAGGAATACCTTAATCGATTCGTGGATAAATTCCCCACCAATCTGCATCAAAACCTGGATACAAAATATTTTTTCAATTTTTTTCCCTATTTTCCTGGGCCACCCCTTGTAAAATCCAGGATTTCCATATAGGACACCTTCCGATGTGCATATCTTTGGCATTTTCTATCCGATTCATATAAGGAATACCTTAATCGATTCGTGGATAAATTCCCCACCAATCTACATCAAAACCTGGATACAAAATATTTTTTCAATTTTTTTCCCTATTTTCCTGGGCCACCCCTTGTAAAATCCAGGATTTCCATATATGACACCTTCCGATGCCCATATCTCTGGCAATTTCTCTCCGATTCCTAAAAGGAATACCTCAATCGATTCGTGGATCGATTCTCCATCAATCTACATCAAAACCTGGATACAAAATATTTTTTCGATTTTTTTCCCCTTTTTCCTGGGCCACCCCTTGTAAAATCAGGATTTCCATATATGACACCTACCGATGCCCATATCTCTGGCAATTTCTCTCCGATTCCTAAAAGGAATACCTTAATCGATTCGTGGATCGATTCTCCACCAATCTACATCAAAACCTGGACACAAAATATTTTTTCGATTTTTTTCCACTTTTTCCTGGGCCACCCCTTGTAAAATCCAGGATTTCCATATAGGACACCTTCCGATGTGCATATCTCTGGCAATTTCTATCCGATTCTTGAAAGGAATACCTTAATCGATTCGTGGATCGATTCTCCACCAATCTACATCAAAACCTGGACACAAAATATTTTTTCGATTTTTTCCCCCTTTTTCCTGGGCCACCCCTTGTAAAATCCAGGATTTCCATATAGGACACCTTCCGATGTGCATATCTCTGGCAATTTCTATCCGATTCCTAAAAGGAATACCTTAATCGATTCGTGGATCGATTCTCCACCAATCTGCATCAAAACCTGGTTACAAAATATTTTTTCGATTTTTTTCCACTTTTTCCTGGGGCACCCCTTGTAAAATCCAGGATTTCCATATAGGACACCTTCCGATGCCCATATCTCTGGCAATTTCTATCCGATTCTCAAAGGGAATACCTTAATCGATTCGTGGATCGATTCTCCATCAATCTACATCAAAACCTGGATACAAAATATTTTTTCGATTTTTTCCCCTTTTTCCTGGGCCACCCCTTGTAAAATCCAGGATTTCCATATATGACACCTACCGATGCCCATATCTCTGGCAATTTCTATCCGATTCTCAAAGGGAATACCTTAATCGATTCGTGGATCGATTCTCCATCAATCTACATCAAAACCTGGATACAAAATATTTTTTCGATTTTTTTCCCCTTTTTCCTGGGCCACCCCTTGTAAAATCCAGGATTTCCATATATGACACCTACCGATGCCCATATCTCTGGCAATTTCTCTCCGATTCCTAAAAGGAATACCTCAATCGATTCGTGGATCGATTCTCCATCAATCTACATCAAAACCTGGATACAAAATATTTTTTCGATTTTTTTCCCCTTTTTCCTGGGCCACCCCTTGTAAAATCAGGGATTTCCATATATGACACCTACCGATGCCCATATCTCTGGCAATTTCTCTCCGATTCCTAAAAGGAATACCTCAATCGATTCGTGGATCGATTCTCCATCAATCTACATCAAAACCTGGATACAAAATATTTTTTCGATTTTTTTCCCCTTTTTCCTGGGCCACCCCTTGTAAAATCCAGGATTTCCATATATGACACCTACCGATGCCCATATCTCTGGCAATTTCTCTCCGATTCCTAAAAGGAATACCTCAATCGATTCGTGGATCGATTCTCCATCAATCTACATCAAAACCTGGATACAAAATATTTTTTCGATTTTTTTCCCCTTTTTCCTGGGCCACCCCTTGTAAAATCAGGATTTCCATATATGACACCTACCGATGCCCATATCTCTGGCAATTTCTCTCCGATTCCTAAAAGGAATACCTCAATCGATTCGTGGATCGATTCTCCATCAATCTACATCAAAACCTGGATACAAAATATTTTTTCGATTTTTTTCCCCTTTTTCCTGGGCCACCCCTTGTAAAATCAGGATTTCCATATATGACACCTACCGATGCCCATATCTCTGGCAATTTCTCTCCGATTCCTAAAAGGAATACCTTAATCGATTCGTGGATCGATTCTCCATCAATCTACATCAAAACCTGGATACAAAATATTTTTTCGATTTTTTTCCCCTTTTTCCTGGGCCACCCCTTGTAAAATCCAGGATTTCCATATATGACACCTTCCGATGCCCATATCTCTGGCAATTTCTATCCGATTCTTGAAAGGAATACCTCAATCGATTTGTGGATCGATTCTCCACCAATCTACATCAAAACCTGGATACAAAATATTTTTTCGATTTTTTTCCCCTTTTTCCTGGGCCACCCCTTGTAAAATCCAGGATTTCCCTATATGACACCTTCCGATGTGCATATCTTTGGCAATTTCTATCCGATTCATATAAGGAATACCTCAATCGATTTGTGGATCGATTCTCTATATATCTATCCGATTCTAAATGTTTTCTAAGAAGGTTCCTTTTTTTAATATTGAAGTGAAATGAATATTAACCCTTTTTTGGTTTCCACAGTTGGCGAGCAGAGCGGGAAGGCTAATAGATCGGTGGCCCGGCACATACCCGGACCCAATTTGGAGCAGCTGGGCCAGAGGGCATCGACGGCCGCCTCGGAGATATCCCGGGCCCATCAGCTGGCGATGGAGCGCGGGGAGAAGCTGAATTTGCTGGAGGAGCGCGCCGAGCGCATGGCCAACACTGCTCAAGATTTCAGCGGCACTGCGCATCAATTAATGCTTAAATATAAAGACAAGAAGTGGTATCAGTTGTAAAATATCTATTTTAGGAGCCAATTCTACCACAGTTATTGTAATATTGCTTTTATAACACTTTCTACTACATTACGAGTAAAGTACACTTATTTAATTTCTGTTTTCAAGTCGTCACGTTATTTACAAAAACTGAAAACCAACAAAAAAAAAACAACAAAAACGCCGAAAATCCACAAAAACAACAACAAAAAAATGAAAACATAAAAAAACCAACAAAAAAACTGTTTTTAATAAAAATATATAGACCAAAAAATAACAAAAAAACTTAAAACTAGTTTAATTTGAAAGTCTGGAAGGAACCAACATCCTTCCAATTGGATTATTTCTTCCAACTCGAACGGGCAAGGCGATAGTGCTGGAAAATGGCGGCAGCTTGATTCAACTTCTTGCTGGAAAATATATCTAAGAAGACAGAAAGATACTTTAAATCAAATTTTGTTTATTTGTTTATTTATTTATAATAATATCCGAGCTTTAAATAAACAAAGTAAGCTTGAAAAGTAGTATTTATTTTTTTTCACAAATATCGATAAAATTTGAGTCAGACTTTTACAACACTGCAGCCTATCGGTTGGTTAGGCCATCTGTCACCATTAGTGAGGGCCCACCACTACTGTCAAGCAAAAGCATTTTTGCTGGAGAGTCTAACCATTTTATTTTAGTTAATAAAATACATATATTTCCACTCTTTTTTTCCGTTGTACGCGCGTGCAAAAAGACCAAGTGCAAGTGTGTCCATCGTACAATAATAATAATAATAATATTCGATTGAAAGGCAGTGATTCGAGCGGATCCGTGCGACGAAATTTTTCCCCGTTTCGTTTTTCGTTCGTTCGTGCGTTTTTTTTTTTCTCCACTCTCTCGGCCAAGCAGCAGCAGCAACCAGCACCAGCGTATTGTAAAAAATTTTTTGAGACCTTGAGAAAACACCCAGCACGGCGATATTCCAACTGCTGAAAAAACAAAAGAAATTGAGAAACGAAACGGTTATACTCGTACGCTTCTGGTAAGAGAATTTCTGGGGGCGAAAAAAATCGGGGGAAATTGGGAAATCGCATCACAATGAGGATTTCGTGTTTCATTTTTTTTTTTTTTTCCAAAATGCGTGCTAAATATGCGGACGTGTATGTGTGTATGTGTGCGTGTCTCGTTGAGCGCCAGTTCGTTCATGTGTGTTTGTGTGTGTTGAGTGTGGGGGGGCAGTAAGGGTGTGTGCGTGTGGTTTGAAATTTTCTTTTGTGTAAAACATTTGTAAGGTGCAACTGTTAGTGCATCGGTGTGTGTGTGTACCTGTGTATTGGTATTGGTTCATGTGTGCGTCATATTGGCATTAGTATGTGTGTATGTGTGTGTGTGTGAATGTATGCATTCCAACGGGGTAAAGTGGGGAGCCCACAAAGATGATGATGAACAAGAAGAAGAAGAAGAAGACGAGGCAGAAACAGTGGAAGAGGAAGCAAATTGGTGGGGGGGGGGAAGAGAGTGTTGGGGGTGACCACCACCAGGAGTAGTACCTGTCTACCGTCTATCGTTTATCGATGTCTGTCTATGTTTATTTGGGAAATAGCCCCCCCCTCCCCCCCGTCCCCCTCTCATCGCAATAGGCTTTACAAATAATTTAAAAATTATTAAACCAAAAACATTAAAAAACAGTGCAAGTGTCGGGAGGGAAATACGAACAGAAACAAAAAAAAAACAAAACAAATGCAGATAGCAGACAACGACAACGAATAAGACGAAGAAGAAGAAGAAGAGGTAAAACAAGAAAGAGAAGAAGCAGAAGGTGAAAAGAAAGTACAGACCAAACAGCTTTTTTTTTTTTTTTTTTTTTGTATCTCAGCTGGTGGAAAAAAAAAAGAAATAATATTTTTTATAATAGGTTTATAGAAGTTTATAGATAGTTTATTATTTAAGGCTTTAAAATTAAGTTAAATTTTTGTTAATTTTTAGTGATCTAAGGTCTATAAGGTGGTGGTCTCATAGGAAACCTTTCAGATAGAGTTACTAAGAGTTGGGAGCTAGAGGAACTATATCTCCACCTTGGTTTCCTAGTTCCTAGTAGTATTATTTTAGGTTTTTTAAAGAGTTGACCCTGAGATCTATTTCACAATCTGTAAACCCCAGAAACCAGTCAAAACTCACTCAACCTGAATGTAATTCTATATATTTTTCTTAAAATTCAAAACATAACTCCCATCCAAAACAGCTGGTGTGTCATCTGTCGATTTATAAACATTTTCCAAAAAAAAAAATAATAATACATGTCTATACTTGCAGTTTCTTCCACACCGAGTGATATCTTAGGAAAGCAGTGCTTCAACGGACCAGCCAACGGGCAGCGGAGGAGCAGCTGAGCAGCCAGCCAAGATGGACAAGATTCGGATATTAAAGGAGAGCCGCCCCGAGATAATCGTCGGTGGCAAGTACCGTGTCATCAGGAAGATTGGTATGATATTTTAAACACTAATATATATCTATAGTTCTATAATTTAAAACTATAACTTATAGGTAGCGGTTCGTTTGGTGATATCTATCTGGGTATGAGCATCCAGAGCGGCGAGGAGGTGGCCATTAAGATGGAGAGCGCCCATGCCCGTCATCCCCAGCTGCTGTACGAGGCCAAGTTGTATCGCATTTTGAGCGGAGGCGTCGGCTTTCCACGGATCCGTCATCACGGCAAGGAGAAGAACTTCAATACACTGGTGATGGATCTGCTGGGTCCGTCGCTGGAGGATCTATTCAATTTTTGTACACGCCACTTCACCATTAAGACGGTGCTGATGCTGGTGGATCAGATGATCGGACGTTTGGAGTATATCCATCTCAAGTGCTTCATTCATCGCGACATAAAGCCCGATAACTTTCTCATGGGCATCGGTCGGCATTGCAACAAGCTATTCCTGATCGATTTTGGACTGGCGAAGAAGTTCCGTGATCCGCACACGCGCCACCACATCCTGTACCGTGAGGATAAGAACCTTACCGGCACCGCCCGCTATGCCTCGATTAATGCCCATTTGGGGATTGAACAATCACGTCGCGACGATATGGAATCATTGGGGTATGTGATGATGTACTTTAATCGGGGCGTCCTGCCATGGCAGGGCATGAAGGCCAATACCAAGCAACAGAAGTACGAGAAGATCTCCGAGAAGAAGATGTCGACGCCCATTGAGGTCCTGTGCAAGGGCTCGCCGGCCGAGTTCTCCATGTATTTGAACTATTGTCGTAGCCTGCGCTTCGAGGAGCAGCCGGACTATATGTACCTACGCCAATTGTTCCGGTAAGTGGTAGTTTTTTAGTATTTTTTCTAGTATTTTTTAAAAAATACTATTCATACATTTCATCAAAATTATCAAAATTATGACTTTCAATGCATGTTTTTTAGTATTTGTTTTTAGTTTTTGTTTTTTAAAAAGTAGTATTTTAAAATTATATGATTTTAGATTTTAAAAAGTAGTATTTATAGTATATTTTGTAGTTTTTCTTAAAAAGTATATGATTTTAATTGAATTTCTTATATTGTTTGAATTTTCTATCTAAATAATTTATGTTTTTCTTAAAATATAACAATTTTATAACAGTTTTGATTAAAAAATTTCAAAATTCTAGGTTCGATTTAAAAATTAAAATTATATTTTAAAAGCACCTTCTAAGATTGCTCATCTCAAGCATGTTAATGGGCTGTGGATGACTTTTTATTTTTATTTCACAAATTTCATCATTAAAGTCTTAATTTTAAGACATTTTTGTTAAAAAAAAGCATGTTATTGGCTTGAATTTGGTTCATTTTTTGTGCACTTCGATCATATGTCATGGCTATGGCTAACAACAACACTGGCAAGCAGACACCAATCATGTTCAAACATGTTCAGACATGTACTAATGTTATCCGTTCTCCACCAAACAGCATACTGTTTAGGACACTGAACCACCAGTATGACTACATCTACGACTGGACAATGCTGAAGCAGAAGACCCACCAGGGTCAGCCGAATCCAGCTATACTCTTGGAGCAATTGGACAAGGACAAGGAGAAGCAGAACGGCAAGCCCCTGATCGCAGACTAAGGACGATGGACTGGAGGGGGGACGCCCGTCCGTTCGAGCACAAGGACGAATGTGCCGGACGCTACAGAAGACGACGGAGTAGTAGTAGGAGGAGGAGGAGGAGGAGGACGATAACGGTGGGATAGAAGTCGTAAAAGCCGGATACTGAATGAAAAAAAGAAGAAAAAAACAGAAAAGGAATGAATTAACATCGTGCGGGATGATAGGATGTTTCTTAATATTAATTGAAATTCAATACTAAGCTAGTAAGAAGAAACCACAAAAAAAAAAAAGAAAAAAAAACAGAGCAACTACATCAGCAACAGCAACAAAAAAAAGCAAAAAAAAAACCATGAAAATAATTACAAAAAAAAGAAGAAGAAGAACCCCCGTTAGGTGTGAATTTTAGAAAATGACTCAAAATTTGAAGAAAAATTTCAAAAGTTAAGAAAAAAAAAAATTGTAATTTCAATTCACACCACAAATCGTTCACTTAATTCATACTCGCCCACTCGACCACCCACCCACCCACTCACCCAACCAACCAACACCCACTCACTCTCACACACACACACACACACTCTCAAATCATCATTGTCCACAAAAAGTAATAAAAAAAAAAATTATAAAAAAAAAATCACGAGAAAGAAAAACAAAATTTAAAATGAAAACCTTAGCCTAATAAATTACAAGAAAATAATAACGGTAATGCTGATAAGGAGAATAAGTAAAGTAAAAGAAAGAAAGAAAAATAAAAGAAGGATAATGAGAAGAAGGAGGAGGAGGAAGAACACTAAACAACCCATATATATTATATATATATATAAATACATATATATATGTATAAGGATATGTATATGTATGTATATATATAAGCGAATAAACACCATATATGTATGAATATATATCCATCAGATCGAAGAATCCAATGCTTAATTACGAACCGAGAGACCCGAAAAGCTCTGCAAAACTAATTAAATTGGAATAAATAAGAAACGAAACAAAAAAAAACACAATTAAACAATAAAAAAAATTTAATAAAAAACACTCAAAAAAAAAAGATGTGCAGATTTGCGGATGAGCAGAATAATGATAAAAAGCGAAACACGAAAGCAAAAAGCCAACTTAGAGATGGGGGGAAGAAGTAATAAAATACAACAAAAACAACAACAAAAACCAGAAACAAAAGCAACAAGAGAATAATGCAAACAAATAAATAAATAAATAAATAATAATAATAAATACAATCGAGGAAGAAAAGGAAAAAAAACAACACAAAAACATGAAAAAAAAACAAAAAAAAACAGAACGCAAAACTGCAAAGTAATTTTGCATAGTAAGCAGTAATAATTATAAACATAACTTATATTTAATTTTTTGAATTACATCAATAAATATGTTGAAATTAAATTTCGACTCCAATGCTCGCTTTCTTCATGTAGACAGAGACGGGGCGATGTGCGGTGTTGGGTGCGCGAGAGAGAGAGAGGGGTTGGTTTAATATTTTAAAATATAAATATCTTATATATACTTATCTGACAAGTTTATTTTTTTATTGCACTTATTTTGCTGATTTTAATGTTTTTTTCTCTTTTTTTTTAAATTATTTTCCTTAATTTAGTTTCTATTGTTTTTACAATTTCTTAATTTTTTCTCATTTGGAAAGTGAAAATTAACAATTTTCGGTCTTCCATTTAAATTGTTTTATATTTCTATTTTGAATATAACTTTAGTTATATTATTAAAAACATTAGTTTAGGTTTGTACTAAGTATAGTTTCTTGTATATTTTATAAAGTTTTTGGAAAAGGAAATGAAAAACTTAATTACTTAATTTTTATTGGTCTTAATTTTCCAAACATATTTATAAAAAAAAAAATTAAGTAAAAAGTTATTTCAAACAAAGTAATAATTTAAAAAATAAAGTTATCGAAATTTGATTTTTTTTATCAATTAAAATTATCAAAAATTCTTATTCTTTTACCCTTAAATTTGAATAAAAAATAAAATATAATCATAATTAAAATAAATACTTGAAATTTTATTTAGAATTTAGAACTTAGAACTTAAATTTAGAACTTTGTGTAGACTTTGTGTAGAAATGTATATAGAAATGTAGTATTTTTGCTTTATTTTTTGAAAAAAATTATTGAAAAAATTAGAAAAGTAGTTAGAAAACTTGAAAAAAATTTAATTAAACACTAATTGCATCTTTAAGTATTTTTTATCATGGGTTTTTAAACAAAATCTACTAATTTTAACAAAAAAAAACTTGAAATATATAATTTAACTTTTATTTTAACAGCCAGCTCTGCAAAAATGATCTCTACAATTTTTTTTTATTTTCTTGAGAGCTTGAAGACGTTCTTCCCCCTTTACTGGCTTCTTCTGGCGCCTTCTGCACAATTCGCTTGTGAAATAGATTCATTTCTTTGTTTATTCATTGTCGTCTAATAATGACACGTCCGCCGTCAGTCTGTATGCAATGATTTTCTGTTTATATATATAAACATATACTATATATATATATATTTTTTTTTATTTTTTACGTGCCCCTCAATAACTACGATGCACTCCCTTTCGGTCAGGCGGCAGTGGTCGCTGATTGGAAGGCCAACTTGCTGTGTCGATAAGAAAGAATGACAGGGATGTGTGATGCGGTCACGTCACACAATTGATATATATACATATATATATTCAAGTGGCTAGTAACAGCTAAAAATTCTTTATTTAACTGCTTTTGTAAAAGTTTAAAAATAGTATACAGCTCTGGAGCTCTGTTGAAGGTAAAATTCTGCTTTTTCTTCAGGTAGAATTCTTCTCCGATTAGGTTTTAGACTTTTTAGGTTCCAGAAGTCATTGTTGCATCCCAAATCAACACCTGTGAATTTTTGTATAATATTAAAAGTTGTTTCTTTTTTGTTAAAACCCAAATATTTACCTGGAAAATAAGCCAAATAGTTTTCATCCTAGTCTTGGTTATTTCTAGGGCCTACATCCTTGACTTATTCTACAAAGGTTTATTTTTGGGAGTTCCCATATAAAGAAACTCTTATTCAAAGAATCTGCAAACATCAGTCATAGAAACAGTTTAAAAAAAAATACTTTTTCAAAAACTTAACCTAAAAAATGAGTCATTTCTTTCCAACACCATTTTCCCACTTTCATAACACTGTTTTTCAGTTTTACAGCACTGTAACAAATATCTAGTATTAACTATCGAACACAACAGCTGGATAGTGACGGGCCAAAAACAGCGATAGTCGCGATTGAACATCGATGTTGGCCAACTATCGATACACGTGTCTCCACACTACAGCACAAAGCCCAAACAAAACCAGCACGAAACCAACTGGCGCGTCTCTATGCGTCTCCACTCTACCAAAACAGCTCCGATCGCGAACGACGTGCACGGCGGATGAGAAAGAAGGGAGGAAGTTTCGTCTCTTTTTGTGCCAGGATCTGTGCGTCCTTTAAAGTAATTGAAACGAATCAGTTTAAATTAGTGCTAATATTGACAGTTTAAAAAATTAAAGCCTCGTTGGGTGACTGTGTGTGCGTGATATGCCGATTTTGTTTTTTTTTTCCAAAAATATTCCAAAAGTGTGCAAAAATCACAAGAAAACTGTAAATTATTAGTTGGAGTATTTTTTTTTTTTACATTTTTTTAACGGTGCTTAAAGGAGATGAGAAACCGGGCATAGAAACCCAACAAGGATGTGGGGATTTATTTAGAGTGAAAGATCAACTAAAAAAAAACATTGATTTTGGAGTTTTTGCGGCATAATATAAGATTCGAATAAGCATATCGGGACACACGCACACATGCGCACGGGAGGACTCGACCAACGACCAAGAAGAAGAAGAATAACGAAACACACAAAACAAACAAGACGACAAAACGCAACAGGAACAGACAACAGCATATTGCCTTTGCCATTTACTTTGTTTTTGTTTTTTCGCCGTGCTTGGCCTGAGTGCCTGCCTGGCATGGCCTGGCCTGGCCTGCCTGCGCAGCAATAAAATACAAATTACAAACACACAGACATGTGATACTCTGAAATACGACCACCACTAGAGAGACCTCTTGCATATAGTAGAGGCCGATACACCGATCAAGCGCGCGAGGGAGACAGATAAGCACGGAGACAGGCGCACGGATACGGTTGGACATTTGTGTGGGGGACAGGGACAGGGAGAGCGCGAACGCAAACGCAAACGCGAGCGCGAGCTTATCTCCGTTTTTTTGAGAACGAATGCGATAAAAGCAAAGCAAACAACATACACCAGGCCAGGCAAACACAATCCGCACTGTTTTCAAAAAAAAAAAAAATAAATAAAAAAATATCCAATTTTAAAAAGAAAGAAAAGATAGAAGGAAACAAAGCAACATCTCTCTTACATACGTTCTTCTTCTTTTCGGCACATGTGCGTGAAAAGTATCCTGACACACACACACACACACATACACATGCGCACACATGAGACACAGACACTCTAGCAGACGAGCACGTGTAATTCGTAATTCTTCTTCCTCTTCGTTCTCTCTCCTAATTCTCCAAATCTTTACAGCTTATATTTTTTTGTTGCAATGCAATACGCGGAATCATTAACAACAACAACAACCATAGAAATTACAAAGAAATAACTCAACATTCAAGTGCAAAAATATATAACAACCAAAAAAGAAAATATATTAATTTAAAAAAAAGAGAAATATTTATAACAAAACCGAAACGCAATCGCAGTGGAAATCAACAACAACAACAATAGCTGCAAAAACAAAAAAAACATCAAGTTCAATAAAAATTTAAAGAAAAAAAATGTCTGCCACAATAGTGCAGAAATCCACGGCAATGGTCGGCAATACGTTATTCGAATGCGGCGACATATTCCAGACGGTAAGTGTTTTCTAATCATATTTTCATTGTTTTTTTTTTTTGGTCAGTCATTAACCTTCTAATTAGGATATTCTTAGAAATAGAGTGCGTCAAGCTGAAACATGCCTAAAGCACATGTCTAAACATGCCTTCCATGCCTGCATTTATGCATCGTTTGCTTAATTTTTCCCCAAACTTTTAGTCGCAATAACTTGTTTTTTTTTTTTTTTTTTGTGGTTTCCGTTTTGTTACACTCTCATTGCTTTTGTTTTTTTTTTTTTGTTATTTATTTTGTTTTTTTTTAAAAGCCAACCAAGCTGATTCATAATTATTTTGGTTCACAAAACTCACTCACGGGCATTATTGCGACAGACGACGACTGTAAAGTGGACTAAACAATATATATATTTTTTTTTGATAAGACATTTTTGATAAGCAAGTCGCCTGTTTTGGCTCTTTCGGACCACCCCCCATACCCCTCCTCTGTGTGGGTTACTCACTTGTAACAATTGGCGTCATCGCGGCAACAGCATCATTAAAAGCAACAAAAAACAACAAATACACTCGTGATCACTTATTTTTCCAGGCAAAGATAGTAGGTGTTATTAAATTAGTGAAAGGTATTAAAAAAAATATATAATATTAAAATTATTAAAATCATTAGTATTTCAAAAGTACAATCTTTCTAAAATATAAAATTTTATATATTTTTTAAATTAATTATCTTGAAAACTTATATTTTAATGCCCACTGTCTTTGTGTGCGGAAAGTTAGTGGCAGCAACAGCATCAGTCGACGCTAACATCGGCAGAACAACAAAAATTCGATTAAGTCAGTTCCGGGTTTGGTTTCGGATTTTTGTGTGTTTTTTAACTGATTTGTATTGTATTGGTGTTATTTCTTTTTTATTTGTGTGTCCGGATTCGAAGTTGCTCTTAAATGAGCCGAGTTAAGAGCTCTGCTGCTGCGCGGCCACGGCGCTGTTGCTGCGATTACGTGCCAAGTTTTGTCATTAACGGTGCTATGGAGCCCAGCTTGGGAGTAGAGAAGGGCGGCCAAAAAGGAGAGGAGAGCGAGAGAGAGAGAGGCTCAAGTGCTTGTTTTTATACCCTTGCAGAGGGTATTATAATTTTGGTCAAAAGTGTGCAACGCAGTGAAGGAGACATCTCCGACCCTATAAAGTATATATATTCTTGATCAGGATCACCTCCTGAGTTGATATGAGCATGTCCGTCTGTCCGTCTGTCCGTCTGTCCGTCTGTCCGTCTGTCCGTCTGTCTGTCCGTCTGTCTGTTTCTACGCGAACTAGTCTCTCAGTTTTAAAGCTATCGTCTTGAAACTTTGCACACACCCTTCTTTCCTTTGCACGCAGTATATAAGTCGGAACGGCCCGGATCGGCCGACTATATCCTATAGCTGCCATATAACTGATTGATCGGAAATGGTATAACTTTGGTGTTTTTAGAGTTAGAGAGTTCAAATTTGACATGTGAGCTATTTTTGGCAAAACATTACGTCATGCCAAATTTCATAAGGATCGGCCGACTATATCCTATAGCTGCCATATAACTGAACGATCGGAAATGACCCAACTTTCGTGTTTTTGAAGATAGAAAGCTGGAACTTAGTACAGATTTAATTCTTGGTCAGTTGATCCAACCTACCAAATTTCATTAGGATCGGCCGACTATATCCCATAGCTGCCATATAACTGAACGATCGGAAATGGTATTTGGTAGAAATATCAACTTTCGTATTTTTGAAGATAGAAGTTTGGGACTTTTTTTAGATTTTGTATTGTAATAAATTGGATTATATATTCCTATTCCCATAAGGATCGGCCAACTATATCCGATGTTTGCGATATATATCCGGTTTTAACTGCAAGGGTATATAAACTTCGGCTCCGCCCGAAGTTAGCTTTCCTTTCTTGTTTTTTTTCTTTCTTGTTTTTGTTTCGCAAAAATTTGCGTAAACTAAAATACAGGGCCAAAGGGTCAAGTAGAACACAAAAAAAAAAAAAATAAAATACAACAGGCAGGGAAAATATCAGAGCCAAGGCAGGTTGACGGCCGATAAAGTTGCAAATAAGTTTTTCTTCTTCTTTCATTGTTTTTCACTGTTATTTTTTTTGATTTTTTTTTTTTTTAATGAACTTTGCTGTTCTGTTGGCCGTGTTTATTGATTATCGTCGGGGGCAGAGTCACTCCAAGAGTTGATTGTTTTTTTGTCATTACACAGCATATTGTTTTTTTTTTTTTTTTTTTTTTTTGGCAAAAAAAACTGCAGCAACAAATTGCTGCCGAAAGCGAAAGGGCGCAACAAAAAGCCCCCCAAACACCAACACACACACATACACACATAGGCAGAGTCGTGTAATAGAAACGACTGCCGCCCAGGCGACGAAAGTGTCGCAATAACATTTGCAAATGTTACGCTGGAAACGGTGTCAAGAGCTAAATGAAATTGTAAATGTACGAAAATGGTTAGCAAGGCGTGCAAGTATTGCGTTAAAAACAAAAAAAAATACAAAAAATATTGTGAAATTTTTTTAAGATGGGCAGGAAGTCGTTAACATTTTTATTGAATAATAATAATTAATGTAGACACTTTTGTCGGTTGACAAACATTTGGTTTTCTTTGCCCAAATTGCCTGCTTCACTTTGGTCGGGTGGGGGAGATGATAGTGGTGGGGTGGGGGGTTGCTCTGGCAATTGCATTGGAGTGTATATGGGAGTTGGAGAGGAGCGGCCAACTCTGAAAAAATTCACTTTTTTTTTCTCCTTTTCGCATAACTTTTCATTTCGTCTCTCTTGGCTTCTCTCTTGGATACTTTTTATTATGAAATTTATACATGAAATACACATGGAGTTTCGGTTTGCTTTCGGTTTTGGTTTTGAAAAAATCTGCTTAGTTTGTTATATCGAAATCCTCGTACGTAATCATCGTATTATGTTTCAGCTCCCCCTCCCTTTGACTCCTTCGCTGCCTGTTCCCCCCCTCCATCACTCCTTTCCTCTTGGGCTAGCTCTCGTATCTCTCCTGCTGAGACTTTACAAGCGACAAACGGCGACTACTTTGTACGAATATAATTCCATTTCCTGCCAAGGCGATAACAACGTCGTCGTTTTATTTTGATCTGTATTTTCTATATGTGTGTGTTGTGTGTGTGTGTGTATGTCCCGACGCCATTGCTGCAAGAAGACGAACAGAAGAAGAAGAAGCAGCAGAATGGTTGGGGGGCGGTGGGGGTGGAGGTAGAGGCCGAGCAACTGCTTGCTACCTACCTAAGAAGCAACAACAAAAACCAGGCAACTCTACAATCCTCCACTGGTCCTCTGCCTTCCCGGGACCGACCACAGACCCGAGACCCGAGACCCTTCAACTCTCAGCTCATTTCATTTCGATTCGATTCGATACGACTCGACTCGATTAATATTCAGCCCCATCCCCCAAAGTCCAGGCTCAAGTCCTCTCACTCCACTCGCGATCACTCACTCCACTTGGCTGGCTGGCTGGCTCTCCTCTCACTCCACTTGCTCGCTGTGCTCACCCACACGATTAGAGTTGTCAAGTCTGAAAAAAAGGGTCAGAAATAAAAACATCCAAAAAAAAAAAAAGGTCAAGTTAGGGGGTTAGATCCTTTTTTTCATTAAAAAATATTTTAATATTTAGCTTGAAACCGGCCAAAATCAGAAACATCAGCAATGGCAACAACAAGAACCACACATTGCCAGCATATTGACTGGCTTGACCCTTGAGATACCCTTGGAGAGAGTGGAGTGAGTGAGAGGAGTGGAGTGAGTGCATTTTAGCGGGGTGGGGGTAAGAGGATCCTCTCAAGAGTTTATTAGTTCGATGGGGGTTGAAAGAAAAAGAAAAAAAAAAAAAGAAAAACATGTTGTTTGAGGATCACAACCCCGAAACGATTTCTAAGATTTTTATATATGTTGGTACATATGTGGTATATATGTATATACGTATGTACAATATATATTCAATTGCCTTCAAGTGCACGAAATATTTCGAAAATGTGTTTCCTCATCATAAATACTCACTCCATACTCTCCGACTTAATTGTTCTTCAATTATTTGCCGTTTATAAAGTTGAAATAAGCTATTTGCGTGCATCTCGCTACTGTGGCCGCGTATTATTATTAATATTATTATTGTTGCCTCTTATCGTTCAGCTTGTAAAAAATAAAGAAAAAAAGAAAACACACAAGCGAGTTAAATACAAGCATACATACATACATATATATGTGTGTTTTTTTTTTGCTCTCCCCACTCTTCAAGCTCTCCTCCGATCACCGTTGTGTGTGCACTCGCCTTTGTCGTCGTCGTCGTCGTTTTGCTATCTCACCCACACCAGTGCTCCCTCCCAATGTCCCCCTCTCGCTCTGCATGGAGAGCTGGGGGAGCCAGAGCCCCACAGAGCCACAGAGTGGGAGAGCGTGAGTGAGCGGGTGAGCGAGAAGACACTTCATATTCTATTGTCATCTTTTGTTGTTGTTGTTCTGTTTCTTTTTTTTTTTTTGCTGTTATTATTATTGCTGCTTGCTCTTTGGTGTTATTGTTGTAATCTTGAAATTGTCTTGACTTGACTTGTATTGTTGTTGGTATTATTGCTAATGGCCGCTCAATTGAGTGCCAAAGTACAGCACCCCCCCTCCCCTCCCCTCCCGTTGGGCTCGCTCTGTCATTGAAACCTCTGCTGTTTTTTGTTTGTTTGTTTGCATGCTAGAATTGGTGGGTGCAAGAGGGGGAGGGGGAGTCGTTAGAATTCTGTTCGATTATCATTCAAATGGCATATGAATTCGCGGAAAATTCATCGCCTGTAAAGACTAATAATAAAAAAAAATAAATAAATGTGAATAAAAAAAAAAAACTGTTTATCTAGTCGTTTTCTTCGTTCCTCTGCTTCGCCCGCAAATTCTTAAACGGTTTCGCTTATTAATTTTGTTAATATTTTTCTCCTTATGCTGGTAATTTTTACCCTCCCCCCTCCCCTCTCTGCTATA